AAGGCAGGAAACGAACAAAAAAGAAGGGTAAAAAAATAACTAGCAACCATACTACTTTAAGACATATTATATCAAAAGCTCGAGCTGCTGTTAAATCAAAAAGACCTACAAATCTAACGGATGCTATTGGAGTTGCCTTGACTGCTGCTAGAAAACAGGTTAAAGGGAGAGAAAATGACATTCAATTTCCGCCAAGACGTGTTATACCTATTCCAAAAACTGGAGGTGTTTTACCATTTCTTGTGCCACTCTTTGCCGGTTTGTCTGCCCTCGGAACAATAGCAAGAAGTGCTGCTCATATTGCTAAAACAGTTAACGAAGTTAAAGAAGCACGGGAACAATTGTCAGAAAATGAACGACATAATAGAAAAATGGAAGCTATAGCCATTGGTAGAGGGTTATTTCTAAAACAGCATCGCAAAGGGCTGGGCCTTTTTTAAAACCAAAAAACTAGTAAAAATGCTACCAGTGAGAGCTCTCAATGAAATGGATTTATTTAAGTTTACAAGATATATTCCGAACTATAGAGGAACCTTTATGTTAAACGAATTACCACAAAAGCCTCGTCAAAGAGAATGTGGGATCGTAAATTTGGATAAATGAATTAAACAAACCGGGTACTCACTGGGTAGCGTATTATAAAAAAGGAGAGAAAATTGAATATTATGATAGTTATGGAAATCTTAAACCGCCTAAGGAAATCATTAAATATTTAGGAAAAAACAGTAAATACAATTATGAGAGATATCAACCCGATAATTCTGTAATATGTGGCCATTTATGTTTAAAATGCAACACTTCTCGCGAAAAAGTTTAAACTCATAGATCAGATAGAGCCCTACTACAAATACAAACCACAAAATGTGTTAGAAAACCACTTAGCCAAGTTATATTGGGATAGAGACGTAACTACAGATAAAACAGTTAATCATAACAGACCTGATATCACACTGACCATCAAAGACACTAAAACGACCTACCTAATAGATGTTGCTGTACCAAACACTGAAAATCTTAAACAAAAACATATTGAGAAAATTCAAAAATATATTCCATTCCACAGTTCGAATTATTCCAATAATAATATCATCAATAGGCGTTATACCTAAAACATTACACATTAGCCTAGCCGAGTTGAAACTGCATAAGTTTACGTACATAAGTCTACAGAAATCTGTAATCCTTGATACATGCGGAATAGTGCGCAGATTTCTTAACAGTACTGACAAATCCCACCTTTCAGAAAACACAACAGGTTAAATAAGAAGCAGAGATTTTAATACTCACTAATCATATTTTAGGGTAAGAAGAACCGTTAGCTCCTTAAATTTTAAGAACAGAAAATTGGTTTCTATATCCCAAAAGATGTGAGTGAGGTTCTTTGGCATTAGCCCGTCTTCACTTGCTCAAAGTTACCAGTGCAAACTGAGAAGACCAGGA